GCTGCAACTCTGAGTTTCGTGCTTGCGCACTCATCAGGCAGATATGGATATATAATTATTAGAATTATTATTTTTGTAATATTATCAATATTATTTTATTATATTAATAACATGTAAATTTGTAATATTATTGTATATATTGATTATTATTGAATAAAGTTGATATTATTAATATGAGCTTTGGGGCTTCAGACCAACTGCAATTTTTTTAAATGCAATTTTTACAATGAACTGCAGTTGCCTTGTATAAACTTCTCATGAATACATCATATTAAGGCAGCTCACTGTTTAAATTAATATTTATCCACAATCACCCACTGCAATTGTAGCTGGTACCTCTCACAGCAGTACCAAAGATATAAAAATGAAAGCATGTCCGAAACTGTAATATTAACCATAAATATACAAATAATATTAATATCATAAATTGAATATTGTGATTAATTATATTCTAGACACTTACTGTATTTTTGGTTATACAGTTTTGTTATATCCTTGTAGGTGACAATGGGATTCATTTCTGTCAAGAGAAAATATAATAAATAAAGTTTTAAATTAAAACAATGTCTGCCATTTAGATCTGGAAAACACCATTAAATAAGTGGAAAAATTGAATTTCTTTGCTTAATGCCTTTTAGATATATCATATCCAAATTCTGGATATCATATCTTGTGATATTGTCTTGAGACTATAGGAGTAATATAACCCATTATGAACTGAGAGACACTGTGGGCAAGCTCGCTRTTCCTTTGCCCCGCACAAACTATCTAAAAAACAGTTTTAGCTACCAAGGTGCGGTGCTTTGGAACGGACTACCACCTGATTTGCGGCAAGCACAAACTCTCAATGGTTTTCGAAATGGTTGCCGACAACATTTTTCCTAGTCGCAAACTTTAGCTTTTCTTTTTTTTAGCACACGGCATTCATGTAAAGCAGAGTTATGTTAGTTTTGATTAGTATTGTATTTTGTTTTTAGTAGATTTATTATCTTTATTAGTATTTTAACTGTATTTTATAGTATTTTAATTGTATCTGATGAATTTACCRTGTTTAAATAAAGTTACTATCTATCTAGACATCGCGCATATCCTTCATTGTCCATAATCACAAAATATAGTGTATAGTGGTCAMTGCATGAGCTACAGTTGTAATGAATTTAATGTTCAGAGACCGTATACACATGAACTTTGCTCATTTAGTCTAACTTCTGAGTCAGCAATTGATTTCAACAATTATGGTAATTATTTGTACCTGAAAATTGACTTTTGAATTTATACAGCACATCTGGATTGGATGCCATAAATTCCTGGCCTTCTTGTGAGCCAAAGCAATACAATTGGCCACTGGGGGTCACAGTCATCACCAAAACTGAAGACCCATGTTCCTCAAGGATATTAACCTTTATAAAAAAAGAAAAGGGGGTTGTAATTAATGTGTAGCAGGGTGTAGCAGTTTATCAATTAAGCATTTATACCWAGGTTTCTGAAAACAGGATTGGRACAATTCCCAATTGGGACAAGCCACAAGGRTATAAAAGTACATCSAATCACWSTTCTTAAATGTATGCAGCCCAACAGGTACAATAATAGCTTAATACACTGGTAGCTAAATTTATATTGTGGTACTATACACACTTGGGGTGTTTGTGAAGATTAATTTCCCATGAGAATTGCTGATAATTCCTGTATGCATTCACCATATGATACCTTTAATAAAGTATTGGTGATACAGTATCTTATATTTCTACCTAACAACAACATTGTCATAGTCACACACTCTATTAACTAATTATAATATAAAATGAATTAATCTATTACACATATGTCAAATAATAATMTTTGTACCATGTTCCTCAGTTGCTGATTGTACCGCTTCACAACTTTCTCTCTTTCCTCCTCTGTCAAATTCTTTTGCTCTACCCTTTCCTTGAATTTTAACTTTTCTTCATCCGAGAGCTTATTCCACTGTTGTGCTGCATAGGAATTTCTCTCTTGCATTGACAGGTCTTTAAATTGATCTGCATAGATATAAAGTAAGTTTGTTTTCAGTCCTCATGTTCATAATGTTATTTAAACTATCAAATATAAAATGTAAAACCTAGTAAAAGCCTTTTTTCTAAATATAAATAAGACAAAGAAACATTCTCATCATATATGTCTACAGTTGCATCATTAATCTGTTTGAATTTTTACTGTACATGTAATTTATCAATTTAAAACCACCTAATTTATGTAAATTAACACTCTTACCGCTTTTAGATAAATCTGTATAAAAATTGTTATAGGCTGTTGGACCTCTCACATAGGTCATCTTTGCCTTCTTTTCAGTTGAACTACTACTTGTAGCCACAACATCTGCTTGGGATGACCTTCTCTTTCTACTTTCACTACAAATCCAATTCTGAAAAATTAATCACAAAATGTAAAGAACATTATTTTTTTACTGGGCAATATAGAGTCCTATGTTATCTGTTAATCATTTATTTACAAATTCATTACTGYCTGTCTCAATTGTCTCGATTTCCAAGACTTGAGAAGTCAAAACTCTGACTACATTCTAATATGACAATCAGAAACTTCATCTTAACTTTATGCTTAGTTTTTTTAGTTTTTTGCCATTAAAAGAAATCAGCCATCCTGTTTTCCAGCTATGATGAATAATTGGAATTCTTATGATCATTCAAGTCTACTTATTATTTTATTGWATAGATGTAATACAATATAACTTAACTTGTAGATTCATTTAATTGAAAGRCTTTCAAATAAAAAGCAATTATAAAGCAATGCAAACCAACCCAAGAATGTTTGCTTTCATTGTTCATATAATTTGCACATAAAATTTGCGCGAGTTCGCGCTACACAGAAGCGTCTTAAATTTTACTCACTGGGCCATTCATTATGAACGAGCTGTTAATRAATTATCAAAAAGTTGTAGGATTTGCAAATATGCCCCATAGTCTTCGTGTTGGCTAAACAATTTTCTTATTAATATTATGGGGAAGTAAGTGATGTGAGTGCGGGAGAGTACGAGACGAAAACAAAATCTTATGGTGGACGCCGTCACCAAACCAAAGACAGAACTCAAGCTTGTGGTACTGTAAAGAGCTCAGGGATTGATAGCTTAACTATTTGAGATACAGAAGAAAGCTCTGAATAATGTTTGCACCGTGAGCAATCTGCTGTAGACAAAGGTTGTGCTGTGTATACCGGTTTATAACACTATGATTGCTTACCTTGACTTGTTCGACAGTCAGACAGCTTTCCTTTGCGGCTTCTTCTATTAGTTCTTTGCATTTCGCCCCTTTGCTAGTCATACCCTTCTCATCGTAATACCTTTGCAAAATTTCGCGTTGCTTATCGGTTTTTTGGATGTACGTGGACGGCCTCGCAGACATTATTAAAAAATTGTTTGAATGGCGTACTTGCGAAGATCAAAGCTTGTGCATATASAATCTATGATTGACCAAATCGGCTAACAGTTGATGTGGAGTGTTACGTGAAATTGACTTGGCCTGTTTTGAGGTGGTTATTAACAGGGGTTGTTAATAGAAATCTAGAGTTAGTGATCGAGCGAGTCACGATGGGCACAGGAAGTCTAACTATTATGGGTATYTAGCACCTAGATGATAAAGTAATATGATGCCAGTATAGCACATGGTCGTATTCAAGCACTTCGAAGCATAAGCACTTTTTATATTATACATTTAGCTACTATCAATAGCATTTTTTTGATGACAAGCAAAAGACAAAAAAGATGTCCTGGATGCAAAGAACATTTAGACAAAAACGACTGGGGCATACTATCGACGCTTTATGAAGGAATAGTATACGTACTCATGCCAATCAAAGCTAACAAAATTTCGCAATACAATTACTTTGACGATGCCAAAATACGTTAATTTGTAAGATAGAATTAAACGCTATACACTGTGGTAAAAATATGTTGTTTATAACAAAACATGGTATGACTTCTATAAGCCCGATTATTAAACTCGATGGCCGCCGAAACTCGACTTCGTCATCGGTTAATCTMTCAGTCACTATTACTTCGTAGTGTAGTAAAACAAGCAGTGTACTATAACAATCCTTGGTTTAGATCCATGACTTCTATAAGTATCAAMAGCTTGTTCAAACGATAGCTGAGAGTATGGATCCTTATTTACTGAAGAGTCATTTTAAAGCTTTTTATCCATGATGAAATGAACTGACTATTGAGTTCCTCGGATCCATCATATTGTTAAGCTTTAAAAGCTTATTCTTGGCGCTTTATGATTTATGGTGATTTATGGTCTGTGATTGGTCGAAAATAACAATACGTCATTTTGCACGGAAGAGATTGCTGGGAATATATTCTGGTGTGGRTTGAACCCACTAGAGTAAATTTACTCTAGTGGGTTGAGCCCATTTAATCCATGTTAACCGGGTGAATTCGCAAGTGTTTTATATTTTTCGGGAAGTTTTTTGGCAGACAGTATCGACCCTAGGCTCAGTCTCCAGCCGTCGGGATTTCGTAAGCCCGCGATACTCTCTCCCCTGACGGCTGGGCGCATGGGGTTCGCTATTGTCAGTCTCGACCAATCAGCGAGTGGCCCCCGATATTTTCAGGGGCATATCATTAATAAATTAGCAAGCAGCCGTCGTCGCAGTGTAACAAAATAACGGACAATTCGTCGTTTGAGATTCTCGTTTGAACGCTCTGAAGTCGTTTAGCTTGGACGTATTTAGAGAAATACAGCAAAAGGCTCTTAAAGAGATTGTTCTTGGAAGATGAAATCCTTGTTATCCTTTCTACTGGCTCGGGCAAATCTCTTATTTTTCAAACAGCGCCACTAGTGTATTTTGCTCGTCTTTCTGGCAGATAATATATCCATTTGGATTATTCTGAACCCTACAAATGTTTTACTTGGGGTAATTTCCATTCCTTTCTCTTTTTTAAAGCGCTAACTATTACATTATATCGCCACTTCGCGAAGTTTTCGTTTCACATACTTCCCGCCTTGTAGCAAAACCTTTTAATACGGCTGTTGTCAGATATTTCACTTCCGTTCACTGAAAAATTCACTTCCGTTATTCATAATATGCTAATTACACAAAAACGTCACGGACATGCGCGACACGTTTCGAACCCCATGCGCCCAGCCGTCAGGGGAGAGAGTATCGCGGGCGCACGAAATCCCGACGGCTGGAGACTGAGCCTATATCGACCCCTTTTCGAGCGTTTTCTTTGACAATTTTGGAGATTTTCTGCAAGAATTATTTTAAAATGAAGCCGGTGACCTCCACTTTTTTATCGCTTTTTTGCAAGTTAATGTGATCACGTATTTCCGCAAAACATTTCATCGAAGTGACAACACGGAGTCCAATGTCCACGAAGGTCCTTAATTGTAATTTCTCCTAATCCCTGAGGCTTTAGATGCATTTCTACCTTCTCCTTGTCGGTGTTGCTCAACCTTCCTTCAAGGCATACAACACAAGAACGCACCAACACCGAGCCTACAAACTGATAAAGAGCAAGTTCACGGTCACTGCCAATCGTATTTGTAATTACTTAAGACTACAGACACAGTTATGGCAGCAATCATTGCTAGTTTTAGGGTAACAAATGTAAAAAAAAAAACAAAAGAGCAAACTGATCTTTTATTAATAGCAATGTTCATGTA